GGTCCCCAACAGTTTCCACGTAAGTTAAGGTTTAGGTTGTCGGGGTTTAGGCATATAGCTTGTAAGGGTGTAGGGAAACCCTTTCTGAGGCAATCATGGCCGATGTAGCGGATGCCGTGCCAACACGGCGGGTGCGCAACACGGTGCTGGCCCGCACCAGGCGCAGCCTTGTTTTTGTAGTGGGTTTACGGTTTAGGGTTCTGTTGTTCCTGCCATTTTCACAAAAGCCAACTGCAGCCAACCATGAAGGATGATTTGAGCAGAAAAAGGGGCGGGAAGTGCCGGGACTGCCGAGACTTTCTATCATGGCATGGCTTCTGCGATCCCCCTGCCTACCAACGAGGTTTGCCCGCGAGTCTAAAAGGGCTGGGGTGTGTCGTAAGCACCTTCGGGGCCAGAATATGTACAATGCCGTTTGTAATCTGATCACCCACAAATCCCGAAACCAACCCCAGAAACCGACACTACAAACCCACAAAACCCCAAAACAGAGCTCTAACCTAAACTCTGAACCCTAAACCCCTAAAACAGTAAAAACCCTAATCCTCAAGCTCTAGAGCCCCAAAGAGCCTTTTAAGCGTTTCAACGCCCAATCTCACAATAAAAGAAGGGATTTTGGGGTTGCGGATTCGAATCAAAAAACTCCTGTTGTTTAGGGTTTAGCGGTTTCGAGTCAAAAAGCCCCCTACTGCTTAGGGTTTAGGGTTTAGGGGCATAAAGCCCTTATGGAATTTTTACAATCCTTTATGAAAGCGTTGTGAAGCCGCAAACCTTAGACTCCTGCAGGGTCGATGTTCCCGGCGGCGTGCTGCTCATCGACCGTCGCGAGCGCCGTGTGATTTCTAACCTTGATGAGGCCCGCTTTAATGGCTGTATCAAGGCCTCATAGGGTTTTACTCTCCAGATGTCCTGTTTCTAAGGCGTTTTCGGGCTTCGCGTGGGGCTTTCTAGGGGTTTAGGGATTCAAGGAGCCCTTTCTCGGTTTGTTTGTGCTTTGTGAAGGGTGTAGGTAGACTGAATTCTTCTATGGAACTTCATGAGGGCTATGCAGGCTTTCATAAAGTCTTGACAGGGTTGCATCAGAGGTTTATTTGGGTTTTGAGGGATCTAGGGTGTAGGATTTTTCATGCGTAGGATCTTGCGATTAGTAATTATTATGCTCACATGGTTTACCGCCATTCACAATGCCCGGTTTAAGGACGAGGGGTCTAGGGTTTTATGTCTTTTTGGGGTTTGGCAGGTTTAGCCGGTTTAACATTATGCTGATGTAGGGATAGTGGAATTAGGGTTTCTCGGCTTTGAGGTTTTAGGGCTTCAGGGTTCAGCAGAAGTGCCGAAGGTTAGTGCTTCATACTTCAGCCCAAACCCTGAACCCTAAACTGTAAGCCCTAAACCTTAAAACCTAAACTCTAAACCCTAGACCCTAAACCCTAAACCTTATAAACCCTACACCCTAGGGTGTAGGGTCTCAGGGTGTTCAGGATTTACGGCTACATAGAGACTGACGATTTCAGGCTTTCGGTTCCAAGTTTTAAACGTTGTTGGGCCCACGGCTTATGGGTTTCCGGCTTTTGGAGTTTAGGGTTTTGGAGTTTCGGGTTTAGGGCTTAGGGTTTAGGGTTTAGGGTCTAGGGTTTAGGGCTTCGGGCTTCGGGTTTAGGGTTTGGTTTGGAGGTTTAAGGCTTGAGGGCTTTGGCTTTTCTTCCCTAGGGTTTAGGGATGCTCGACAGTATGGGCGTAAGCCCTAGACCCCGTAACCTCTAACCACTCAGGCCGCTAGACCTTGGCTTTCGTGCCCCCCCGACCCTAAGCCCTAAAACCCCAAACCCGAAACCCTAAAGCAAGATGCCCAAAGCCCCAAAGCCCCAAAGAAAGCCCTAAACCGCAAATTCCCAAACTATAAAACCCCCAAACCCTAGACCCTAAACTGTAAGCCCTGAACCTTAAAGCCTAAAAAGCCCTAACCGCAAATTCCCAAACTCTAAACCCTAAACTGTAAGCCTTAAACCTTAAAGCCTAAAAGCCCTAACCGCCCCTAAACCTCCAAACCCGGGAGCCTTTGATGCTTCTGGAGCGACCAGATCGAGCCCAGAGCTTTGAGGAAGGTAAGCTAAGTAAGGTTATAAGTGCGCTAATTCGGTTGTATATATATATATATAAATAATACACAATACACATATATATATATAAATAAATAAGTCTAGTAGTTAGTTATACTATATAAAGACTGTAAGTACAGGTACTCTCCTAGATTCCTAGATGCTAACTTGCCTGATCCCCGAAGCACGTTCTTCAGAATTCAACAATCTCCAAATCAGTTCACGCAGCCCAAATCACAAAGCTACGCGAAGTACATACACTCGACAAACTTGCAGCCTGACACCGTAAATCCTGAGCCCTAAATCCTAAACCGTAAACTCCAAGCCCTAAACCCTAAACTTCCTAAAGATTGAAACTCTGAAGCCCCACCCCAACAAGTGAGTCCTGAACCTCACGCGGTAAAATCCCAGTCACGTCACGGGAACCCCAAAAGTACTCGCAAAGAGTTTTTCCAGTCCCCCACGCCTTAGAACACCGGCATTTCCCCAAGCCGCAAAGCGCACTAGACTGGTACCGAAAGTATGTGCTGAACGCTGGGATCGTTCAAAGTATCCTAGACCAACCCTAAACCCTAAACCCCCGAACCCGAAAGCACCAACCAAACGCAGAGTTTTTACGTGGCAGGTTCGCGGAGCCCTGGCAAGGCTTCCGAAGGGCGCCGAGGTGGGAGGAGGGCAGCCGATAAGAAAACAATGGCAGCACACAACTACAACCAGGGTGTGTAATGAGTAGTTGGTACGGAGACTATTCGACAATGTATACATATATATATATATATATACACATGTATACATGCATACAGGCATCTGTGCATACATGCATACAGTACGTACATACATATAGTATGCACATATATATATATATATAGAAGTCTACACACGCATACATACACATACATATACACATACACATACACATACACGTGCACATGCACATGCACATACACGTACACATACCGACATATAGACATACACAACCCCATAGATACATACACAAACATATATATATATATATATGTATGTATGTATGTATGTATGTATGTATGTATGTATGTATGTATGTATGTCTACATATAGACCACACACATGTACACATACATATATGTTTAAGAAGCGTTTTTTGGAACTGCTGACTTAGTGTTTGTGTTGTTTTCATTTTTGTAGGGCTTAAGGTTTTTGGTTTGTGCGTTTGGTGGTTGCGAGCTTTGTGCACTTCAGCTTTGCATGTGGGAACTTCTGGTACCGTGGCTTGGGCGCGCTTCGTTTGCAAATTGTGTTGCGGAGCCGGTTCAGGCTACGAGAGTAGAGCTCTCCAAGCCCATAACCTGAAAGATCGCAAACGAACCCCCGAAACCCTCAGTCCCGTAGACGCAGACCCACACGTGCGCAGACACGTCTGATGTACTGCGAGAACTTGACGTTTGTGGAGCAACTGGGACATGCCCTGGCCGCCTAATCCATAAGCCCTAAACCCTCCATGCCCACCCTAAAGCCTAAACCCTAAACCGTAAACCGCCCTAAACCCTAAACCCTAAATCCTAAACTGATCCATCAACCCTGGACCCTAAACCCCAGCCCCGGAGAGGAAAAGAGGCGCTTAAAAAAAAAAAACCAGCCCCGCCAAATCCTAAATCCCGGAACCCACCCCTACGACGCCTTACCGAAGCCCAAACCCGGGATTCAGGGTTTTGGGTTTAGGGTGTAGGGTTCTGGGGTTTACGGTTAAGGGTGTTGGGGTTCTGGGTTTCTGGATTTGGCGTTTGGGGTTTCGGATTCCCCTTCTTTGGGCTTCGCATCTGGTTCAGGGTTTGGGGCTTAGGATTTTGATATAATGGGCCCAAAACCCTGTTCTATTCATGAACGCCCCTAAACCCTAAACCTTTACAGTACCCCTCATAGTAACCCTTTTAACGGAACCCTTAACGGAATCCCTATTCTAATCATTAAGGGCCCCTATATTTTTGGTTTAGGGTTTCGGTGTCGGTTCTCGGATCCGGGGTTGGGGTGCTGTTTTGGCTTCCCCGCATGCCGGCTAGGGGGAGAAGTTGGGGTTTTTGACTTCGGCGACCCTAAACCCTAAACCCTAAGCCCTAAGCCCTAAACCCTACAGCACCTAAATCCTAAACCCTTAAACACCTAAACCCTAAACCCTAAGCCTTTTTCAGGAGCCGGAAAAGAGGCGTTGAGGGTTTTTCATGTTGCCTCTGTTGGTGTTATGTCTTTGTAGATCCTTCTGGTAATCCGCGAATATCGCTGTTCAAGGCTCTTTCGTTGGCAGCTCAGGCAAAGCAAAGCAACAAACACGCAACACCTAAACCTAATATAGGGGCCGTAATAATTAGAACATGGTTTTAGGGGCCATTATACCACAAGGCCCATTATACTATAATTATGATGGGGAACCACAAAATAGTATTGGTATTTATTTAGCCCCCTACATTGAGCTAGTGTGGGCAACAAACAGCATCAATTGGAACCCTAAACCCTAAACCCCTAAACCCTACTGTAAACCCTAAACCCTAAACCCCTAAACCCCTAAACCCAAACCCCCTCAACCCTAAACCCGAAACCCCTAAACCCTAAACCCCTAAACCTTAAACCCTAAACCCCTAAGCCTAGGCCTTTTTCGGCTCAGATCAGCAACTGCCGTGCAATGCGCAAGAGGTCCACAAGGCAAATCGCTAAGCAGTGTGCAACTATATATTCGTATTTTCAGAACCTTATTGCCCACACTATTTTGTGGGGGTTCCTTATTATAATTATAGCACAATATACCCGGAAACCTATTCAGGCTTCTACATTATTCCCTACTCCACAACCGCACACTCCAAACCCATCTGAGGCAAGTCTCTGCCTTTGCTGCTGCGGATGCCGTTGTCGCTGTCAGCGGTGCGTGCCTGGCGAACAGCCTCTACATGCGAGACGCGTGCCTGCATGTATAAACCTTTGAAGCTGAACACCTGAACGCCTAAACCCCATCCTCAACGCCTACACCCGTTTTTGTTTTGATTTTGGGTGCATGGTAAATGATCTACTCGTTCAAGCGTTCTATCTTCCTCAGGGACGAGGCTTCCTGAGATCATGTTAGCCGTCAGAGTTTCGAGTGCATAGCCTCCTCTTGCTTCAAAATTCCTTCCCCACTCTCAGAGGTGGCGCCTTTACCTTCTGGCCCGAATAAGAGTTCCTGTAAGTCTTGACTGTCAGAGCTGCCTGTGCTACAGCTTAGGTTGCTAGAGAATTAGAGGTTTGGTGAGGCCCACAAACCAAATTTTTGCGTTGCAGCTTAGAGGCTTGAGATTTTGTTCAGCTTCGATTTCGTTTTGGGGACCCTGCACGCCAAACCTTAAACCCAAAACCCTAAGCCCCAAACCTAACCCTACAAGACAGCAGGTTCCAGTCTGAGGCCAGGACCAGTGTGTAGGGAAGTTTCGGGTTTAGGGTTGGGTTTAGGGTTCGGTTTAGAAGTTTAGGGTTCAGGGATTAGGGTTTAGGGTTTAGGTTTTAGGGTTTAGGGTTTTTTGGTTTAGGTTTTAGGGTTTAGGGTTTAGGGCTTAGGGTATAGGGTTCATGTTTAGACGGGTTCAGATTCTTCATGCTGGTGGTCGTCAGACTCACAAGTATCAAGTCTACTATTGGGGCCTAAATAATTACCAATACCATATTGGGGGTTCCTCATTATCAGTATAGTATTATGGGCCCAGAAAAAGAATTAGTCGGGCCTATAGTACCAACGTCAGAAGGAAAGATGTCTCAGGAAGGGTCCCTTGTGGTGGACTTGGTTCCGGTCAAGAACTACATGGGCGCTGACGTCGTCATGCCACTGTAGCTCTGCTGCAAGGAACTGGAAGTAACAAAAATCGCCTTAAACCCGAAACCCCCAGACTTAAACCCTAAACCCTAAACCCCAAGCCCTTCTTCCCAAGCATTTCTGTAAACCTGAAAACCTAAACCCTAAGCCCCAATCTTTCAAACCTCCCAAACTTCTAGACCTTATGCCCCTGAAGCCCAAACCCTATTATGGGATGAAGCCTGCGGCTGGAGATTCAGACCCCGACCCCCAAGCAACAATTCCGAAAGCACACACCTTAGTTTAGAACCTAATATAGGGGCCTAAATAGTTACCTATACTGTTTTGAGGGCTCCTTGTTATACTCATAGCAAAAGATACCCAAAAAACCCTATTCTAATTATTTAGGCCCCTAAACGCTAAACCCTTATATTATAGTACCCTTTATAGCAACCCTTTTAAAGGAACCCTTACAGGAACCCTATCATATTTATTAAGACCCCATACACATCAGGATTTCAAGAACCAGGATTTGACCCAGGGATCCCCTGCATTGAGCACCCTCTAAGCCACAAAACCCTAAGGCTTATAATTGTTGCACCCTTAATTTAAACCTTAAGCCCTAAACCCTAAACCCCTAACCCCTAAACCCCTGAAGCCCTAAACCCTAAAACCCTGAAACTTTAACTCCTCAAACCTTCAACGCGTGTCAAACGCATCCGCTGTTCGAGGCTCTGCGCTTTTTTAGGATTCAGGGCACCCAGGGTTCCGGAATTAGGGGCTGGCGTCCTAGGGTTTAGGTTAGGGTTTAGGGTTTGGGGTTCACGGCTTGTGCTGATTCAGCCAAACAAGGGTTTTGGGATTGTAGGGTATAGAGCTTCAGAGTTTTGGGTTTCAGGGCCCTAAACCCTAAACCCTGAAACCTAGACGTGAAACCCTCAACCCTATTTCGGTTTTCTTTTGATCAGGAACGCGGAATTGAAAAGAACAGGTTTTGCACCTTCTGTAACCTGAAGTCTTAAATCAGAGACACGGAACTATCAACATCGTTTTTGGACCAGACAGCAAAATAAACGAAGAAAACCAAAAGAAAATAAAACCAAAAATCAATTTTCAAGTGTGTTCAAAACACGTTCTCTCCAAACACAAAAGGTGAAGCTACAAAGAACGACCCAGATAGGGGCTGCGCCCTTCCAACCCCTCCGCCTTTTCACCAGCCGCTTTTTTGCACACAAAAAAACAAAGCCTTGGAAGGTTTTCAAATCCTAAACCCTGAACCCTAGACCCTAAACCCTAAACCCTAAACCCTAAACCCTAAACCCTAAACCCTACACAGTATCAGCGATGCGGGGTCGAGGGTCCAGGTTCTCGGAGTTTGACGACTTGGAGCCGCCTTGGGGATCAGGATGTGGGGAAAATATAGTGGTTTAGGGTTTAGGGTTTAGGGTTTAGGGTTTAGGGTTTAGGGTTTAGGGTTTAGGGTCACAGTAGATGAGAGTATGTAAAAGTATGCGTTAGCCTGGAAGCTACTGTAGGGGAAATTACAATGGATCACAGTAGATGTGAGTATGTCGCAGTACATTGTAGAATCAGGATGTGTTACCGTGGAAGCTAATGCAGGGTATATTTTGGTAGATCATAGTAGGTTATAGTATGTTATAGTTTGTTTCAGTACATTGTAAGATTCTGATATCGCAGTATTTTAGAGCAAAGGAATGGTACGAAGTTTCTACTTCTGTAGGCGTCCATGTTAAACCCTGACCTCTGAAACCGCAGACCCCGACTCAACCCCTTAGCTCTGAACATGCAAGCCCTGCACCTGCCGGACGTTTGCGGTTCGGGCGTTTTGATATTGAGGAGGTCATCAGGGATTACGG